TTGTTTTCTGATTGGATGCAGAGCATCGTACGACGAAAATCGGATGCAGGGTGAATCCAGCATATAGCTGGTTCTACATTAGTCGCATCGTAGTGTCGCAAGCGTTGTGGTCCAATCAGAGTAGAGCTAGATTGATGTTGATTGGATCGCAACGCTTACGACATGCTTGCGACAGTACGATGCGACTAATGTAAAACCAGCTTTATGTAGGACATCCGACGTGCATGCGATATCCAATAGGATTTTATATCACGTGCACTATAGATTTTCAGTACTGGCAGTTAATTTTGGAACACAGCCTATATTACTTACTACTAGTGCTTTTCCGCTTTCTGCTTTTCCGTCAAGGTGTGAACGCGCCCTAAAAGTTCAGCCAAAAAGAACAAGCTTTATGAGGCAGATCACGGAAAATGGAACGATATTCGTAAATTCTAAATTATTAATTGATCAAAATGATATTCCTATTTCCTTCCTGAATTAGTACGACGCTACTCTTGAACTTCTTTCGCGTCGCGTCACGACGCGTGATTCGCCCAGTAGAAACATACCATAAAGATTTGTTCGCGTCGCATGCTCCAACATGTTCCAATATGCTCCTACCAGAATTCTTACTCACTCCAACGCGCCTGATAGAGTGAGTAGGAGCTTATAGTAGGAGCATGTTGGAGCTTGAAACGCGACAAACCTCATGCGTCAAATAGGCCACGTGATCAAAATTGACGCTTGATATTCGTCAATTTTTAACACGTGATCTATTTTTGACAGAGCGTCGAGCGTCAGATGAAAAGGCACCGTAATAGAATGTTAATAGAAGAAGAAGAGAATTCGTCATGTTAGTTAAAAAGATAGCACTTCTACATTCCTTCAAGTCCACGTAACGTGTCATCAACGTTTGTACACACGCACTTTTTTGTGACAAATTCGTGTTACTTTTCTACTTTATACGTTACACGTTATCGGCAAAGATCAGCGTTAAAACTGGGCACACACAATCCGTCTTACCTTCGAGGTTAGAACTACATTCTCATCACAACGGGGGCCGAACAATCAGCTATGTCCGTCTCTCAGATGGAAAGTATCCTTTGAGTTTATAATTGTGCACCGAAATTTCTTTGTTGTAAACTTTGTTTTTTTATTAAATTAAATGCAAAATAAATTAATATGGAAGCGTTTTCAAAAGATATGCAAACAAGATTTGATAAAGCTAAAAATTCTAATTTTAGAATTTACTCTTATACATATATTCGTAACAGTTGATGATGTACTTGCAGAATCGGATTATAAGTGATATTCAATCTGATCTTATATTCAAATGATGGTCTTGTCTATATCTGGTCATTTTAAAATTTAACTATTTGACGCCATGATCATAATTTGTTCTTTGTAGCTGAACTTTTTTTTCATGGTTTATCTGTCTTCTTTTCCTCTCTAAATTCGAGAAAAAAGAAAAGCTAAACCATACAGGCAAGAAGTTAAGTTATAAAAAAACAGGCCTTGTGCAGTGTCTTGAAATTGTATTTGATCTTAAATATAAAATTAAGAAAATGGAAGTATTGTAACAAGTTAAACCTGTAACGCTGTTACTTTCTTTATCGTTACTTTGTTATAGTAACGATTTTGCAATAATGAATTTTTATATAATTGTAACAGTAACATCAGGGTTGGAAAGTCAATGAATCTTTATACTTGTAACGAGTTTGAAAACTTACTCGTTACGGAAGAAATTAACTCGGTATTTGTAACTCGTTGCTTTTTAGTCATAACTTGTAACTCATTACTGGTTACAAATTATTTGTTTCAGTAAATAAACTCATAATGGCGCAAGTGTAGTTATCTTTAAAAGTGATTTTCTCAACCTTTATTTATGACTATCATAGTCATAAAAAATTGCCTGCAAAACATCAAATTGTTATTATAAAAAGTAATAGAATAGTAACTCTCCCATTCCCTGAAATCAAACTATTTATAATTAAAATATTTACTGGCTCTATTGAGCCAGTATATATTTACTAGTTCTGTTATTGTATTTTATTTATAATTTATACCAGTTTGTAGACAAAGCAAGTCACAGTAGAAATTTCCTTAATAGCAAAAAATATAGAGAATTTATTTAATTTAAAATTCGCGGTGAAAGAATTGGAAAGAAACTCAAAGAAATGCGAGAAAGAAGAAAAGATAGAGAAGACAAAGATCAAGAAGGCGATACAAAAGGGTAATATGGAGGGTGCTCGCATTCATGCAGAGAATGCAATTCGACAAAAAAATCAAGCCTTGAATTATCTCAGAATGAGCGCCAGAGTGGATGCAGTAGCTAGTAGAGTGCAGACTGCATTGACAACTCGCAAAGTTACTCAATCCATGGCTGGTGTTGTCAAAGCAATGGACGCTGCTATGAAATCAATGAACTTAGAAAAGATTTCTGGACTTATGGATAAATTTGAGAGCCAATTTGAGGATCTGGATGTACAAAGTTCATACATGGAGAATGCTATGTCGCAAACCACAACTACTAACGTACCCCAGAATGATGTAGATACTCTGATGCAGCAAGTTGCAGACGAAGCTGGGTAAGAATCTACTTCTATTTGTTATTTCAAGTTTTTTATAGTTAAGACAAAGAGCTTAAATTCCTGTCTTATATATAATGCAAAGAGGAATTATTTTAAATATTATTACAAAAACTTTTATTACTTTGAACTGTATTTGAAAAAGTTTCATTTATTAGATAGTTATAAAATTACCTGATTTTATTTTTGTGCAGATTGGAATTGAACATGGAACTTCCATCAGGTCAACTTGGCAGTATTGGCACTTCAACAGCAGTAAGCCAGGAACAAGATGAATTAACACAGAGATTAGCACGACTTAGAGAATAATGACGAACTGCTTTAATGTATATTATAATTGAGATGTTTTATAAATTATGTAATATATTTCCAATATTGTTACAATAATTATTGTAATGTCTTATGATAATTAGGGATGCACCGGATCGTAAAATTATCGGATATCCAGGAAGATAATTTTTCGAGTCGGATATTCGATATTTTCCAGATATCCGATCGGATTCCGGGATAATGTCTAAAAAAAAGCTGAGTAAAAGAGGAAAAAAGGAGTAAAACGAAAAAGGGATTGTGAAGGAAAAATAGTGATAATAATTATGATTTTAATAAATTAAAGACAAGAATGTAAGGGAAAGTAGAACTCAGCATAACATTGTTATACTTTGTGCGCAAATATAACAATGGAAAAGTCCATTTTTAATATAAAAGTGTATAATGTCTGTATAATATCCGATTTTAATGTTATCGTCAGAGTTTGATTATCAATAGAGATGATAACTGTAGAGAAAAACATTGTAATTTTGCAGCAATATATAAGATATAGCATTATGAGTATGCATATTTATTTATAGAACACTTATATAATAAAAAATCAATTTAATGATATAAAATTTCAACGGGATATATTTTCGGATATTAATGATATCCAACTATCCGGTCGGATAATAAAAGTGTCAGATAATACCGGATACTTTTCGGATATCCAGTGCATCCTTGATAATAATACGTTTCCAAACTTTAATATAGTATAAGTCTTCAATATACCATAAGTTCTGAAACAATAGGTATAATAAGACTTAAGCCTTAAGAGTTTAATCAATTACAGTTGAAAAGGAGTATAAAAAGAACAGTCGACTGTGACTGGTCAACTTTTTAAGGTTTAAGGCTTACTACACATATTAGTTTTGGAACTTTAGAATAAGACAAAGCAAATAAGAAAGATAAGAAAACATTTTTAGATTTAATAGTTATATGTGGTATACATTAGGCTTTAGTGAGCATATTATATAAAAATGTTATTAGCTACACTGGCTTATAGATTGATGAAGCAGCAAATCCAGACAATTGGTTTATCGATTTCGTATTTTAAAACTTTCGATTTTATAAGATTTTCCATAAAAATTAACTAAAATACATGATTATTTAACATTACTGCTTCTCCTGAAATGTAAAAATAAAACAAAAATAATTGAATGTAAGATTAATTTTAACAATAAACTTATTGCATTTTTTTATTAATGTAATTTGTAATCGCGCGTGAAGTGCAATCTCAGAATGCTTTCACTATAAGAATCAGTTATACATTATGCAAATAGAAAATAAATATTTACTATTCATTAACTCTCTCTTTCAAAGATTATCCTAAAACTAAGATAAAATTTCATGAATAATTTTTGAATCACAGTATTAAATTTAAATGAGAATCAGAAAAGCGATGGAACATAATAATCAAAGACAAAGAAATTTAATATTTTATATTAACTTTTTTTAGTATTAGAAATATCACCATTGAAAAGGACAATGAAATACTTCAAGTTTATCTGTATAAATATGTTCTTATTTAATATTTATAATCTCAAAAAAATAATAGCGTATCGTTTCATTTCATTTTTATTAAAATATCAATTTTTGTAGAAGTAACGGCCAAAAATTAAATTACATGTAATATATATATATATATATACAATATGTGTGTATATATTTACAAAAATAAATAACTGATAATATAGAGATAACAAGTACATATTTAATTATGGAACGCAAATGCATATTTTGTCTTCCTCATGTAAATAATATTGTATCAAATTTGTTAGCATTCGAATTCATTCATAGAGAATCCTAACTTGTGAATACAAAACATACAATATTGTGCGAATCCATGAAAACTAATTAACATAATTAGAAGTAAAATTCCTTGTAACAATAATAATTAAAGTAAAGCAAAACTTGGACAATTAGAAATCGGCGCTTACTCATTCGATCAAGCGTGTGAAGTGAGTAATGCTGGATTCACATTGCATCCGATTTTCATCGTACGCTCTGCATCCAATCAGAAAAAAGAATTCCGATAATACGAAGCAAAATTCATCGGAATCCTGTTTTCTGATTGGTTGTAGAGCATCGTACGACGAAAATCGGATGCAGTGTGAATCTAGCATTAGGCCGGAATCAAACTAGGCATTAAAGATTGAGATTGAAGATTGAAAAATTCAAATTTGACCAATCAAAACAATAGGAGCTAAAATTCCTTTGCCCTCATTGGTCAAATTTCAATCTTCAATCTTCGATCTCAATCTTCAATGCGTAGTCTGATTCCTTAGGCCGGAATCAGATTACGCATTGAAGATTGAAAAATTCAAATTTGACCAATCAAAACGAAAGAAGCTAAAATTTCTTTGTCCTTATTGGTCAAATTTCAATCTTCAACCTCAATCTTCAATGCTTAGTCTGATTCCGGCCTTACACCGTGTTACACTGTATCTCTTGATGGAAAGCTCCCTTAAACAAAAAACAGAATTGTATTAAAGTATATTACATAAAATCTATAAAAAATGCAAACCATAAAAATCAACCCATGGGCTCAAGTGAGCTCTTGCATCTTATTGGCATATTCCGTTAGAACTAAAAATATAGACCAAACAGATACAAGAGCTCATTGAGCGCTCAGTGAGCGGTCGTAGTACTGAATGCACCCAATGATTCGCAGGGTCGTGCAGTAGTTCTGATTTATCGGCTTGATTTACTCGCAGAGTCGATAACGCGCGCACTTCGGAAAACGCACGGAAAGGGACACATTAACAATATATATGAATACAGAATAATAAGAAAAACAATAAAAAAATTAGTTATTTATTGTTTTTCTTATTATTCTATATTCATATGTACTGCTAATGTATCTCTTCCGCGCGTTATCGACCCTGCGAGTAAATCAAGCCGATAAATCAGGACTACTGCACGACCCTGCGAATCATTGGCTACGTTTACACCGTATGCTTAGTCCGCGACCTATACGATAGGTGTCTTTGTTTAACCTACAGGATAAGCAAGGACATCTATTGTATAGGCCGCGACCTAAATGCACGGTGTAAACGTAGCCATTGACGGACAGTGTACATACCGCATACACTGACACACCGCGTACACGTCCGCCGCCATTTGCAATCGCTCGCCATCGCTCGCTAAGGGCCTGCAGCGCACGGCAGGCACGGCACATGCGGTTGCCGTTCCACGCCGTACGCCGTCCGCCCCTCACGAGCCTCGGAGCCTCATTTGTTGAGGTGTTGACGCAGTCTCGCGATGTTGCAGTCGTCAGAACCCGCCGTCCGTTAACCGTCTGTCAAACGCTGCGTGTAGGTGAGTGGTGACAGTGGTGTTACTGGTGATCAAGGCGTGCGTGTATGTGCATGTATGTGCGTGCATGCGTTCGGTTCGGCCCAATCCAGTCCAGTTTGGCCTCATGCTTTGCGTACTTCGTGTGGAGCACGGTGCGTGCGTCGGTGCAGCTCGTGCTGTGTGCGTATTCGTGTGACGCGCGTGCTTGTGCGCGCTGTGCGTGCGGTGCGTTGAGCGCCCGAATCGTTACCCCTCCCTTTTATTCTACTCTTCTCCCCTCTTTCACTCTCTCCGTCCATCTCTTCTCCATATCTCTTTCTTTCTCATCCCTAACCTAACCTAACCTATTCTTCTTTTGCGGCTCGAACGCTCGGCGGATCAGGTCGTGGCGCACGCGACGAATTATTCTAAATCATCGCCAAATAGGATTCCGCATCGGCCATTTGGAGTAACTTATCGGCGCCGTTTCATCGACGGTTAGCGTGCATCGAAAGAAGCCGTCGAATTTTTCCTCCCCTTTCTACTTGCCTTCGCCCTGTTCACCTTCGTGCAGCCATGGCCTCCTCCAACCGTGGCATTCAGATCGGATCCGGTTGGTTCCAGACCAAAATTAATCTTAGACCGCAGCACCGGGGCGTTCATCTAGTCACCGAGGAGATTCTCAGGCAGGTACCTGAGCTCTGCCAGTTTTCCATCGGTCTCTGCCATATCCAAAGTGAGTACTTGACTATCTGATTCTGTACTTGCTTTCATAAGTTAACGGATCAAGTTTTATTTTCAATATTCACGTTTATCGGGATATATACATATATTATGAAAAGGACTGAACAAGATATTTCTCTGTAACGCGATAAACATTAGATTCGTTTTTTTTCCCTATAGTTCTGCATACCTCAGCTAGTTTAGCATTAAACGAGAGCTGGGATCCAGATGTGAGAGATGATATGGAAATGATGCTTAACAAAATAGTTCCTGAAGGTTTGGAGTACAGGCATAGCTGCGAAGGGCCTGATGACATGGTAAGTATAGTGCTTCTGAAAATATTTCTTTTAAAAAGTAATATTGTACTTTCAAAGTTACTACTGTAGGGTACAGCGGGGTAATTTCAATAGCGGAGAAATTTGGATAATAGTAAGCGTTTGCAAGAATTTCAAAAAAAATTGCCACGTTTTATATTTGGGATTAGTAGCAAAGAAGATACTGTAGTCTACATAGTTCATGTAGGTTTGAAAAGATATCTGTGTATCTGGAAAAAAAAAGTCTGTGGAGAGTTTTATACTAAGCAAGATAGATAGAGAATTTTGATGGTTACTGTAGTTTATAAGAATATATCCTGCTTTCTTAAGCTTTTATGAAATCTACATAGAAAGTATGTAAACAGGACCAAATTACGGATGAGTTCAAGTATTTTAATACAAAATTTGGTTTTTGTTATAATTTTAAAATTTCAAATAATGTTATTCAAATTATCTTTTAAGATATCCAAATTGCTCCTCAATTAAGCTTCATTAAAATTGTTGGGGAAGATCAGATAATGGCATTACAGCCTCAAGATTTAAAGATTAATTTTTTATACTTTGGGTAAATATTCCTTAAACATGTGAGTTTCCTGCTACATATTCAAAGTAACGATAAAATTATTTTTCGAGAAATTGTTTAAAATGTTTGAAATTATTCAAATTATCCTGCTTTATCTTAATGAATAAATCTTGTATAGACCAAAATTGTTTGTAGGAAATGTATCTTAAAACTAATTTTATTTTTTCTCTTATTGTGTTGGTAGATATTTTTTAAATAACGATGCATGTTTTGCCAAATTATATAGATTGATTTGGTCCAAAATTTTTGCAGAAGAGAATCGATTCTGTAACATTGATTTATGTATATATATATGGTATATATAAGTATGTATATATTTATACGTATATATTGTACACTCATGAATAAGATGACTAAAAAAAGACGATACTGAATATTTCTAAATGTTTCACAGCCGGCGCATGTGAAGGCTTGTTTCCTGGGCTCATCGTTGAGCATCCCAATCACCGACGGCAAACTGGCACTGGGCACATGGCAGGGCATTTGGTTAGGTGAACACCGCGATCACGCTGGTAGCCGTAAGCTAGTAGTAACATTGACTGGTGTCTTGAGGGATTCGGCGCGCAGTCCCCTGAGCCCAGTTAGCCCTATCGCGTCTACCAGCAGCTAGGACCACTCGCACCCCCGAAGGCGTGGC